ATCACCTTCTCAAGAAAGCATGGGTAGGTTTATGCCACTTTTACGCTAAAATATGTTCAATAAGAATAGAACTCGGAAATGTTCTTATCGTGATTGGTGATCTATGCTTCTGTTTTTAATGATTAAGCTAAGAAGTAATTGAAAAATTAAAAGAAAGAATTAAAAGATCAGTATGTACTGACTTTAGTTGACAAAGCATATGACAACATAGTCTTTATTTAAACGATTGAGGGACAGTATGAAAACCATCTATCCTTCTGTATTCAGTAATTCAGAAGTGAAAAAAGAATTAGATAGATTACACGATCAGTACCTACTGGTCCCTGCTGACAAAGCAGGTAACAACATTGGCTTTGTTTGTAAGGCTCATTATATAAATTGTATTTTAGAAGAACTGGGATTTAATTCTTCAAGTGGTAATCCAACTTATACCCATAGCTTCCTTTCTAAGGAGGAAATTCTTCAAAATCATATGTCAGTTTTGAATATTTTTAATATTCTAAACAACCAAAATGAATTTGAATTACCATATTTATATTGGATTCCGAAACTTCATAAAAATCCTTACAAACAAAGATACATAGCGGGTCCCAGTAAATGTTCTACCAAGCCTCTTTCTTTACTCCTCACTAAGATATTAACAGCAGTATATCTTGAGAACACTTTTTTCAATGAAGCTTACAACTGGTGGAAAATTGTCATTTTTCCTCATATGCTGAGATGTTTTTATTCATGGGTGTTTGGTGCTATAAATAGAAAAGGGAACCCCCTTCAGATAGTGTTTATTTCAGTAAATGGTTTCCAGTACTTGTCAGTCACACTATGTTTATAACAATTAGTCTGCATTTTTTCCATCCGACATTACCTGAGAAAGTGCAAGAGTCTACATTTTCTCGATTATTCGAGGTATCTATTTTTAGACCATTGTTACTAAAATAGGAAACACGAGTCGACCCTCAATATTGTATCAATTATTGTACAAACACTTGTTCTTTATGAAGGCATATTGTAGAGAGCTTTATATTTGTTAATACTTTTTCTATGAAGCTTCCAATTAGCATAAAACTGTCATTTTTCCTAATATTCAGAGACATATTTATATTTAGGTGCTTGATACTATAAATAGAAATGGGAATACCCCTCAACCATTGTCCACTCCAGCTAGGGGTGTCCAGCTGCTGTCATTAATATCTTAAATTTTACAATATACGTCCTATTTATCCAGCAATGACATCTAAAACTGCCAAAATTTGATTTTTTACATTTTTCTAAAATCTATCTATTTATAGATACATGTTACTAAAAATAGGATAAAAAGCCCACCGATATTTTTTCATGAAATGACACTACTAATTGTCAAGAATAAAAACACACATATGTTTTGGAAATTTTCCACGGACAATTTTTCTTATTTAGACTTAAAGATCCCCAAAAAATACTAAATCCCTCATTTTTCAAATTTTCAGAAACCATGTCAGTCTTTTTCTTAGAGTGGGAATATTTTTAGAATAAATGATTATATGCCCTGTGTACCTTAAAAGTTCATGTTATCATATGATCCAATAATATTGAAATAACTAGATATAAGTGTTAACTGAAATGTAATGCCCTGTTCACACGGAGAGTTTAATTCGTAGTAAATTAATGCGAAGTAAAATGATGCGAATTAAACTAATGCGAATTAAATTGCGTTCACACGACAGGTAATGCGAAGTATACTAATGCGAATTATAATTTTATTTCTACAACAAGGCTATTCAGTGAGGCTATTATGACGTCATTTACAAATCACGTCATATTGTGCACAGCAGATATATACATTTGACATAATGTCATAGTGTCTATACACATTTTAGTGATTAACATAATTTTCCTTTGTTTTCCACTCAAAATTGGCACAAATACCTATATTTGACCATCGACTTGGCCTGTGACTAAATTCTGCCCTTACGCATGCGTCAAAATTTAATTCGAATTAGCTTCGCTTAGCGTTCACACGGAGCTAATGCGAAGTAATTTAATGCGCAGTAAACTAATGCCCTGTTCACACGGAGAGTTTAATTCGAATTAAACGTAAGTTACTGCGAATTAAATTTGATCCGCGTTCACACGGAGAATTTAATGCGAATTAGTTTAATTCGAATTAGTTTACTGCGCATTAAATTACTTCGCATTAGCTCCGTGTGAACGCTAAGCGAAGCTAATTCGAATTAAATTTTGACGCATGCGTAAGGGCAGAATTAAGTCACAGGCCACAAGTCGATGGTCAAATATAAGTACTTGTGCTATTTTTGAGTGGAAAACAAAGGAAAATTATGTTAATCACTAAAATGTGTACAGACACTATGACATTATGTCAGATGTATACATGTACCTGCTCTGCACAAAATGACGTGATTTGTAAATGACGTCATAATAGCCTTACTGAATAGCCTTACAATTCGCATTACTTTACTTCGCATTAGCTGTCGTGTGAACGCAATTTAATTCGCATTAGTTTGATTCGCATCATTTTACTTCGCATTAATTTACTGCGAATTAAACTCTCCATGTGAACACGGCATAATTCGAATTAAACTAATTCGCATTAAATTCTCCGTGTGAACGCGGATCAAATTTAATCCGCAGTAACTTACGTTCAATTCGAATTAAACTCTCCGTGTGAACAGGGCATAACTTTTGCATTCGAAACCTGATTTATGCCCTGTTCACAAGGAGATTTTAATTCGCAGTAAATTAATGCGAAGTAATATGATGCGAATTAAACTAATGCGAATTAAATTGCGTTCACACGACAGCTTATGCAAAGTAAACTAATGCGAATTATAATTTTATTTCTACAACAAGCCTATTCAGGGAGGTTATTATGACTTCATTTGCAAATTACGTCATATTGTGCACAGCAGATATACATTTGACATAATGTCAGAGTGTCTGTACACATTTTAGTGATTACCCTAATTTTCCTTTGTTTTCCACTCAAAAATAGCACAAGTACCTATATTTGACCATCGACATGTGGCCTGTGTCTTAATTCTGCCCTTACTCATGCGTCAAAATTTTTAAATTCGAATTAGCTTCGCTTAGCGTTCACACGGAGCTAATGCTAAGTAATTTAATGCGCAGTAAACTAATTCGCATTAAATTCTCCATGTGAACGCGGTTCATATTTATGCCCTGTTCACACGGAGAGTTTAATTCGAATTAAACGTAAGTTACTGCGAATTAAATTTGATCTGCGTTCACACGGAGAATTTAATGCGAATTAGTTTAATTCGAATTAGTTTACTGCGCATTAAATTACTTCGCATTAGCTCCGTGTGAACGCTAAGCGAAGCTAATTCGAATTAAATTTTGACGCATGCGTAAGGGCAGAATTTAGTCACAGGCCATATGTCGATGGTCAAATATAGGTACTTGTGCTATTTTTGAGTGGAAAACAAAGGAAATTATTTTAATCACTAAAATGTGCGCAGACACTATGACATTTTGTCAAATGTTTATCTGCTCTGCACAATATGACGTGATTTGTAAATGACGTCATAATAGCCTCACTGAATAGCCTTGTTGTAGAAATAAAATTATAATTCGCATTAGTTTACTTCGCATTACCTGTCGTGTGAACGCAATTTAATTCGCATTAGTTTAATTCGCATCATTTTACTTCGCATTAATTTACTACGAATTAAACTCCCCGTGTGAACAGGGCATTAGTTCGCAGTAACTTACGTTTAATTCGAATTAAACTCTCCATGTGAACAGGGCATTAAATGGTATCAGTATCGCCAAACCCCTAACTCTGTCATTACCCTAACTCCGTCACTTTCGGGAAACTCAGCGCTGTTTGTAAACGAATGCGATTGTGACGTCATTTTTACATGCTAAAAATCTACAATCAAATGCCGAGAAAATTTTACAGTCAAGTTGAAGAATGCGTCAAAAATAAATAACAATTACACGTGATCTATTGTATCTATCATATTTTATGTGAAATCAGTAAGTACTTTTTTCCTTTATGCGCTATTCCATCGATACCTTCGACATGTGCGTCAATTTTTACATGTCAGTCATATTTATGTAGGTCTTTGCCAAAGGATTAATATGACATACCATATTGAATACGGCTAAAAATATTTTATTTTCCGTTTCAATTTACCCTAATACGCTACACGTTGGAGATAACGTAGCGTTACGTTATTGCATATAAAATACGTTATATTAACATTATTTTTTCTGTGGTTGATACTTTTCCTAAAATAAAATTTAATACTATTTTAAATGTTAAAAACTAATTTTCTCTGTTTACAAGTTTAAGAAGAAGGGGGAAAAACTAAATTGGAAAAAAATATTCTAATTAATACATTGACATATTGTAGAGGGCCCCGGTGACGGTTTTAGGGTTCATTTTACGTTTACGGATGTGATACGCGTTCTATTTATAGTAGTTTCGTATAAGCCCAATTAAAATCTGATTTTTTTAAAATAGTTCTGAAAACAATGTTTAAGTACATTACTAAGTGTAGCAAACAAGCAACAAATCAAACAGTAATTCAGAGAGTAACCTGGCATGTTTTCCGCTAATGGTGACGGAGTTTGGGTAGTAGGGGATATATAAAATATCAGGTACCACAAAAGACTTTTGATTTCAATGATATTTGTTTTTATAAAATCAGGTAACACAAACGAATTCGGACTTTTGATTTAAATGGTATATGTGTTTATAAAATCAGGAAGCACAAAAGAAATTGGACTTTTGATTTTAATTGTATATGTGTATATAAAAATCAGGTATCACAAACGAATTCGGACTTTTGTAAGACTCACCTTTTGGTGCAGAAAGAGATACACGATTTTGTTAATAAGCCGATTGGGCTATGTGTTATAAATCGTGGCTCTCACGCAGTCTTCAGGCTGCTATTGATTTTAGCATTATCAGTACCTGTTTGGTATATAACCATTGTAACATTCCTTAAGTCTCATTCGCTGCAGCTCGTCTGAGCACTTCACTCTGACGGTGCCTAGTGTTAATCAAGGTGAAATGGCCTCAATAGACTCTGGAGAATTCTCAGATCTTGAACACAAAGGTGTAGCAGTTCTCTACTTTCTTTTTGGTAAGTAAAGCAATGCTCTTTGAATATTAGTATCTGTTTACACAATAAGAAAATAAATAAATACCTAAAGGAAAAAAAATCAATTATTTTTCATTCTTTCAGAAGCTGGAAGTCATTTATTTATCAGTTGGGGACTATTATCATCTATATATAAAAATGAGAATTTTAAGATTTGTATTATTTTTCTTTCTTTGCAAACTCTTAGCCTTACAATCGTTCATTAAATGCCTATATATTTTTGAAACTCCCACAAGGATTACGGTGATATTACTGTAATAATTTGCTTCCACCCACCAGAAAACATAATCGGTGGTTTTCTATTACACTTGTATGTAACGGCCTTCTCAGATTTAAAAAGATAAACGGGAAATAGGCTTTCATTAAAATTCAGACTAAATTGTATAAAAATAGTTTTATCTCGAAGTATCCATTTTCTATGTAAAATTGAGAAGATAATCAAGAATTGAATCAAATTATGCCAGTTAAGTTAATCATTGGATGAGATTGATTTTGTGCGCAGTGGCTTATGTTAAATTTTTGCGTGAACAACAAAAATTCATTAGCGATACATGCATTAGATATATCGGGTTCCAGCAATATGGAAAAGCTTCTAAATAATTAGATGTGTATTAATCAAAGCAAGTTTTCATGACAATAATAAGTAATTTATTTGTAAATGCATGATATAATGGTATCATTTATTGTCATTAATTCTTAATGATTATACCAATATCATAATATCACATAATAAAAATGAATCGCAATGCAGCCTGTACGAAGTGAGCATTCTTCAGGGTTTATATCTTGTTTTGCATTAAGAAGAAAAATATTTTCATAAATCCAAAAATATCTTTCTATTTTCATAGTTTGTGTTTAGTTTTCTTGCCAAAGCTCGTTTCTCTCTGTAGGAGTATTAGGAGTTTTGATGAACTCGTTTGTGCTGAAAACTTTTATGAAGGATGGCGTGTTGACCTCCCCAAAAAATCTCCTCCACATGAACCTGGCGTTCTCTAACATCCTCATGGTCCTTGGGTTTCCCTTCTCAGGCCTCTCCAGTTGGCACGGGAAGTAGGTTTTACGACATTCTCATTTACCGTCAATCCGTACAAAAAAGAGGGATGATTTGTAGTTACAGTATTGAAAATTAAATTATCATTTTTAAAAAATCTTGGCAATTTGTCTGAAGCAATGAAGCATTTCATTAAGCTTCCATAAAATTTTGAAAATTATGCTAAGATATTATTGGAAGTAATGAATCTTTACCTCTTTACTACTGGAAATACTAATCTAAGAGTTTTACAGGTGGATGTTTGGTCAACAGGGTTGTCAATTATATGGAGTTGAGTCCTACACGGGGGGTATAGCTTGTACAGGCTTTGTATTTGCTTTATGCTTTGAACGGTACCTTGCCAATCGACAAAGACAAATATGTAAGTAGATACCTTTAAGTCTTGCATGAAAAGAAAGTTAGAACATTCTCTTGAACATTGACAAAATCATTTTTATTGAGCAGACGATACAATGAGCTCCAGCACGTGGTGGTTGATTACCCTTGTTGTCTGGCTGCACGCGATCGTCTGGGCTATTCTTCCAGTGTTAGGCTGGAGCAGGTAAGCTTCTTAACCTTTACCGTATTCTTACTAATTTGACTAATGTCTCCTTTCAGTCTTAGCTGCTGAAAGATAATCTCAAAAGTATTTGAACGTTTTACACAATCCCTTCCATTTAGTTATTCCATGGAAGCGTCGGGAGTTGCCTGCGGCTTGAACTGGCTGAAACACGACTTTAACCACACCTCCTTTGTGATTTTCATGACTGTTGAACACTCCATCATTTATCTGTTGGCGTTCATTTTCCTTAAGTCTGCTAAAAGTTACGTGGACTCCCACACGATCCTCGAAGTCAACACACACAACTGGTTCACCGAAAAACAGCTTGTCTGGGTACCGTCCATTCCTGTTAAATTTTCACAACTGATAAATTTGCCTTTTCTAGCTATGACTCATGATGGTATGACTAATATATTGTACACATTTTTGATTATGTTTCCTGATTAGATAACAATTTTATATTTGTAGATAACATTTACTTTTCTGCTGATTTCTGGAATAGGCTGGGGTCCTTACGGCTATTTTGCAGTTTGGAGCCAGCACACTCAAATTACCAGTATTTCTATGTTAGCCGTCACTTTGCCGCCTCTGTTCGCTAAGGGATCAACTTTATTTTACATTATACCATACCTTGTGGCTAGCGACCGTTTTCGGGACGCTGTTGTTGGAGGCGTGGTGAGGACCGAAAACAAAAAAGACAAGTAGATAATCTTGGTCACTTTGGAGAAACGTTTAATGCGTGAAGGAACAGAGAGGAAAGCTTCAAAAGTTTATTTTACCAGAATCTTATGTGTTTTTCAAGAAATCTTTGAAAATCTGTTAAAAAACATATCTTTAAAAATAAAGTTCATCCTTAAAGACGAGAAATCTATATACGTTTAGGCTTACCTTTGTGGCTCCATCAGAAGCACAGTTAGTCTTTATGAATTCTCGTCTTCGTTTTCTATAAAGGTTTTACTTTTGATTTACATAAGTATTTCTATGCCGTGCAATCTTTTACAAACATTGTGTTATATTTGATAAAACGCGTGATTTACATTTAAAATCTTGTTATTCATATTTGAAGAAGATTTTTTTTTCTATATTCACTTGTGATTCATATTCTAAAGCTTGTGATTTAAATATGAATAACAACTTTTTCTCGAAAATAAATCACAAGTTGATTGAATATTAATTACAAGAATTGCGAGTTCGTCGCATATAAATGAAAAAAGTATCGAATATAACTCAAGTTTTTGCATATAAATAGCAAGTTTTCAGATGTGAATTAAAAATAATCTTGGGGACCAATTTTCGAGGCTAATAATTATCAATTATTACAAATGTGCTAAACCACCTCAGTTTGAAAACAGCGAGGCACAGGACACCCCGTAAAGACAACCATGCTACTGATATTTTAGAGGTCTTAAGATACTCATTTTTAACGTAATTTATTATTCTATCTCAAGAGAGTTTGGTCCTTTATTTAAACAAACTTGAATTTCCTTTACTGTTACACAGTTAGATATTGCTTATTCAATTATTGATTGTTCTGGCCATTAAAAAGTCCATAAAACAGTTTAAATTGTAAGCGAATTGTTATAATAATTATCGAAGTGTCAATACATGTCACAGCTATGGTTTGTTCCTTGCATTTGAGCAATCTTAAAATAACAAAAGATAATTGGTACATGGTATAAGATCAAGTCCAATTAATATTTTTACAAACAAGGCCCAGTATACTGGTGGGTAATTTATTACAAAAACAACACAGGCCGTTACTGACAAAAAATTCTCGAAGCTGTGTAGCACTTATTATTATTGTACTTTTTTATACGTACATGGAAAATCAACCGTTTTTGTTGAGGAAAATAACCTTATCGACTGTCTCTGAGGAAGTCGCTTTCTCAATTTATGATGAGAATTCCATCTCGCTATCACTTTTTTATTGCATTTATTTATTTATAATAATATTCGAATGTCGTTTCATTATTCGATCGTCGGTCCATTCGACTGATAGTCGAATAGTCGACATCCGTAATTTAATTAAAATGAATTTTGAAACCATTTCATCTAATACAGTCCCTGAAACATTCTACTTTCCCACTTGAACGGTGAGCGAACGCTGAACGAACGCAGAGCGAACGGTGAGTGAACGATGTGTGAACGCTGAACGCAACTTGGTGAACGATGTGTGAACGGTGAGCGAACGCAGAACGCGAACGGAGCGCAAACGCGAACGCAAAGTGAACGGTGAACGAACGGTGAACGCAAGATGAACGATATATTCGGAATGCTTCTGATCTTTTCCTTGCATTGAAACTATTTTATTGTATTATAATGTCAGGTGCCAAAAAAATAATAATAATAATAAATAAGTAAACCAATAAATGAATGAATAAATAAGTCAATAAAATAAATTCTCCAAAATTGTCCTAAGAAAGACGATGCATGCACATTAAGTTTTTAATCACACGATTTTTATCGCATTAAAACATTGCAATTGTTGCCGAACGCTGAAGTTTAAACAAATCAGAGAAAACTTCTGACTTATAGAATGAACTAAAGCGGTTGTAACATCCATTCATATATCTCCGTGTCAGGGCGATTTCGTGTAAAGTAATGAAAAAAAAATAATTATAATGGTCAGTGGACGTTTCGCATTTATATGCTCGTATTTAAAATTTTTAATACAATAATATATTATGTGTCATTTCTATATTTCAAGATGAATTATTAAGCAGACTTCTACATGTATATGTAGATGGCCGTGGTTATACTCGGACAAGATAATATACAAAGATACATATTCATATTATTTGTTATAAATTCAATTTTCAGAAATTGATATTTAAGTAATATGCTGTTATAGTTTTTATTAAACAGACAAATGAGAGAGAGAGAGAGAGAGAGAGAGAGAGAAATATTCCATTTTATCCCCCCCCCCACTTCTTTCAGGCTTCACTAAATTTTTGTACCTATATCAAACAAAACCTCCGAAATTTTTTCTAAATATATCAGACAGTGAAAGTAACTTTTTTTTTTTATCAACAAATCATATCCATTTGTTTGACAGTCATACTCGTTTTTATTTTCCTGCTTCAAGTTCACACGAAGTCCACGTGCTTGTCCTGTCAATCAAAATCATTCGACACTGTGCAGGTGTGAAAGTTTCGTCACATCGAAGACGAAGTGCGAGTATTGCCAACAAGTTAAAACATTTATTTTTATCATTTCTAGATTTTATCCCAACATTTGAATAATAAATGAATAAAATACATTGGCCATGGGCATTAACACTTGAATTTGAAACATACTCTCTGCCAATTTCAAATACCACCGCTGACACGTGTACATTTTGAACAACTATTGTTTTGTGACTTTTTTAGATGCATGTTTGTTTTGAGACTGAAATTTTTGTTCTAAAAAAGACCTTAACTTTTTTTAAAAAATGTTAATTAAAATATTCTGGAAATACAATACTGACTAAGTAACCAATTTAGGGGGAAAAGGGGGGGTATTAATCATATCGAATGGCAAGCATATAAAGTTACGGTGAAGAAAGATTTTTTTTCTATATAACTATAGGCTTTACATATTAGAGTAGAGAAAATTCTGTAGTGCAGTACATTTCAAATAAATATTTCCTTTAACCACAATATCAATGAACGAACGGTGAGCGAACGGAAAAATGGGAAAGTAGAACGTTTCAGGGACTGTATAGGAATTTATTACCTTGTTTTTTCACCTTTTAGCTCAAAATCAATAGTCTTTCTGACTTTAGATAGACGAAATGGTAGACCCAAATTACTTTTCAAAAGTAGCAGAACCATTTTGAATAGTAATAAAAAAATGATATTCAAACATTTCGAATTGGTGTTTATTGAAGTATTATTTTGAAATTAGAGAATCTGAAATGTGGATGGTGATAAAAGCAGGGATCAAATTTTACATGATGCATGTATACAGGGTAAAAATCGTTTAAAAGTCTTCCTTTCCAAACCAGGAAGCATCATATTGAAACAGAAGCATTCCAACGTTGTGTGAATTCAAGCTGATTATGCTATAGCCACTTGGTACTAAGTAGGGACTACTATATGGGGTTAAAATTTACCAAGTGAGTAAAAAGGGGAATCTTTTAGACATCTTATGAAGAAGAGAAGGGTAAATTATACACAAAGACTCAACAACAGAAAAAAATAATTCTCAGTTTAAAAAAAGGAAACAAAATTATGCGTAATATTCTTTTACATTCATTTCCTACATTGAAAAGAATGAAATATTCACCGCCCAATATTTCAACTTAAACATGAGATAAAGTTTATTAAAGTTCCTTTTAATGTAATAAACACGTTGATGCTAAGTTATAATTTGAACTCACAAGTTTAAGATCATATAATTTGAAACAAAAAGGAGTTTTATAGTACCATAAGTATTGTTTATTACTAAAATTCTTATGTTACATGAAAGAGACCCTGAAGTATTTACTCAACATGTCCCAGATTTTACTTCTCGGGTGGTATATCATTGACATTTTTGTTAAATAATCATTTTAAAAACTACAATTCTTTAGAAAATTGACAGGATATAGATGCATTTCTTATTTTCACCCAACACAACACTCTCTTTGAGCTCTCCAAATGAAGTTTTTTCCCCTCAAGAGATAAGTGCCAACAAAATCTTCTTGTAATCTCCCGAAGTATCACCCTACAATGATAGAAACAAGTCAAAATTAGAGCATTAAAAATCCATAACATTTTATAGGATGTGTTTTATGCAGTTCTTTAAAGTCTATTTACAACTGATAGTACTAGTAGTTAAAATGATATTCTGTAAAATTTGCCACAAATATATAATAAAAAATGACGCAATGATGATTTTATATCCTAATTTTGATTTTACCTTGATAAATTCCTCCAGAGTCTTGCCATAGATCTTCTGAAACTCTTTTTTGATTTCACTTATGTCTTTATCTGACCTTGACACAATTATTCTGATCAAGTCGTCGTCATCTGTTCCAGCCCCCTGAATGATTTTTCAAACTAATCTATCATAAATGTATTGGAAACGAAATTCTAAATAAAATGGATCTATTGAGGGCAAGATATTAGAAGTAAAAATGCAATCTGAAGATTTTCGTTACATATTACTCATTGTTGTTGTCAAATAAGGGAAAAGTTGTGGGAAAAATAGATTATGATTGAAAACTGTGAACATGAAGACACGCACACATACTGCTTTCAAATTTGATGTGTAAAGAAATTATTTTAAATGAAAATGATCCTGAACTCGTTGTCCAGTATTTTAATTCCATGCTTTTATAAACAGTAATTAAGTTTTAAAGTTCTAGAGAGACTTACAAATTACTTGAGAGCTTGAGCTTGTAAACTAGCATCATGCATAATCTATATGCACTCTTATAACCAAAGATCATAACTATCACAATGTATCGTCTTTTTTAATGCAATATATTAGTAATATATATGAATTGTTCATATTTTCCTGTTTGAAGTTGTTCTTAAAAAGTATTCAGATACACATACCTTCATAGAATCGTGAAGCTTTTTTGCAAAAAACGCAGCTTTATTTTTGACAACTCTAACTGAAAAAAGCAAGTAACATAACTCTAATGTAAAATCAGAATCATCTCTACAACTGATAATAAACTAATTGCAAGAAATATCACATACATGTACTAGTAATCGAAAACTTGAATTTCATATCCTACTGTTTATTTTAAAATCTCAAAATATATTTTATATAGACCAGGTCTTCAAACAATCTGTTTGAATTTCCATTGGTACTAAATGTGCCCCGTTATTAACAGACCTGTTTTTGTATTCCTATGAAGCCCCTTGCTGTGACCTTCAATTCAACATTTAGATATTTCAATATTGTTTTATCAATTTTCATTCCTACGTTGATCTGATATATCCCAATGAACGCGAAATAAAAGACACCGAAGAGTCTGAGACATCTATTTCAAATTTGGATGGGTTTTTTTTCTAGAGAAAGACATTGGTGGCAAACTTACAACTAAATTTATGATAAAAGTGATGCCTTCAACTTTTCTATTGTCAACTTCCCTTATTTATGTAACAGTATACCATTATCACCTGTATTTGGGGTTTATGTCTCCTAGCTGATTCGATAGGCAAGAGCATGTTCTACGTACGATCAATTTCTTAAATAAGACAGGCTTCTGTCAAATAAATTGAAAATTCAAGGATATCAAAATTTTCGTTTAAAATAAACATTTCATAAAGTCTATGGTCAATACAATGACCTTGATTGCAAATACAATCGAATGTGGACTGACATCTTTCATACAAATTGTCAAACCATTGTTTTTTCACTGAATTTTCTACGGGCTTTTCCTTTTACCCTATCATGAAAAAAGAAAATACAGCGGGGGTTGCAGGACGACAGACGACTCTCACTTTTCCATGGCACCTTATCCAACCTTTGTTTCAGAGGTCCATGTTTGCTCTGCTCACAATTTATTTTGTTTATTTGGATTTGGGAGCTTGATTACTGTTCGTTATTGACGAAATGCCGCAAGTGTCGAGTACAAGTCTTAATATTAGCAGCCCTCATTGGCAAGTGGTGGCGTCTCAATATGAGTGAAAATTCTTGAAGGGACGTTAAATCAAAAAGCAAAACAAAAAAAAAAAAAAACAAAAAAAAAAACAAAAAACAAAAAACAAAAACAAACAAACAAAGAAAAAACCAAAAGGATAGCCTTTTTATGTTTACGTATTTTTTACTAGTATTTGTTTGGCTTGAAACAGAAAAAGAAATTTTATCATATAATAGAGAGGTTGAGATTTTAAACCTGTACCATAGGCACTCCCCAGCTTAATTGTTAAAAAAATATATACCTACTATACTATAGTATAGTAGGTATATATTTTTTTAACAATTAAGCTGGGGAGTGCCTATGACCTGTACGTGTACGTGTGTTCAAATTTTGACGTACACGTACACGTTTTTTGTAATTTGTCTGTTGAGATTTAATGACGTGCAACATGAACGTGTAGACTGTAATCGGTGTCTCTGTTTCAACTATTTAGTAGTTTTGTGATATAAGTTTGACTTAAGTTAGTGAACAATACATGGTTAAAATAAGTGTTCATGAAACTTAACATCCTAAATAATTAACAGCAATAACAGTTTCACACATAAATTGACTAGTTTTTATTGAAAAAGCTACAAGTTTACACCTACGTGTGGATGCTTTTTTTTGTAGGAACGTGTAGAAAACTTATCAACACCAAAACTGGTGACGTAATACGCAAGAAATTTAGGGAATTCCCCCACTAGACATACCCGTACACGCATGAAATCTCAACCTCTCTGTTGTAAACAAGAAGCTGACGTATGAAATAAAAACAAGTTATTTTGCATTATTTGTGTATCCAGTAAAATGAGACGTTGTTATAACACAGAGTATATCAATGACTAAAGTAAGATTTTTTTCCCTTCAAAGAGTCCCTTTTTGGTGAAATTTGTTATGCGAACAGTATTATAGCTTACCTACAGCCAACATTCCTGCCTTTACATCTCCTGACATTTCACTCTTGATCGAGTCCTCTATGTCTTTTTTGGCTATCTTGGAATACTGATCGAACACAGCCCTGAGCTGTGGATAACTTTGTAGCACTAATATGGAATTAAACACGGCCTCGTCTGTACCCCACATTTTTTCACCCGCGTCATGTAATCTCTGTATGTATTGATGTATATAATGTAATCTCTGTATGTATTGATGTACCGATACATAGTATTATGTATTGATGTATAATACATTCAATTTCTTACAATGTAAAACTTGTCTACCTTTTTTAACATGTTAAGTTAAATCATTATAAACTTTAAACAGGGTAATATTTGATATTAAATATGAATTATCCGTTTGATCCGTATTACCTTGGCATCAGTTTCAGCTTTTTGCAAGTCCACATTTTTGTCCTCTTGACGATTGCACTGGAATTGGAAGTTTTGCCCTGTTATTCGTTCATTAAAATCAAAAATCATTTTTCAATTGTAAAATATAAAAAGAATTTCAAATGCTTAATCAATAGAAACCCAATGTAAATATGATCGAGAACTACTATACAGAATGTAAAATATTGGTTTTGAAATATTTCAAAACTTACTGTTGCCAGGGAAACCAACAGTCTTTTAAAATCTCCTGATGTATCACTTTTAATGTCTTTTTCTAAGATGTTCTTGTATTCTGTGGATTTGTATAAGAATTTTCAGCTGTATATTTAGTGTGCAAAGTAACTGAACTACTGATATACATTTCACACAAAACAAATCTAGTAAAAAAAAATTTAAAAACAGTTCCCTTATCCAAATAATCACGCCCTTAACTTTAATGAATTTTTTGAAAAGAATTACTTGATTCATAAGCTTTGCTTATCGCGCGAAATTCATCATTTGAACGGCTGCACATAATTTCTATCAATACATCCTCGTTTGTACCAATGCCCTGCAAAATAGAAAAGTACAAACAATTTACATTTTAGCACAATTTAAGTCAAATATCTGTGTTTCGGGGATGTTCGTCCAACCTTCATCGCTCGTTTGAGTTCAGCAGCGTCGTATTCTTCAGGTGGTATCATCATAGCCATAATGACTTTTTCAAAGTTCCCTCCCAACTCACTTTTCAAATCCTTCACCAACTCCTAGAATTCAAAAGACAACCTAAACACCAGCAGGCATGTTTACAAAACTTTCCTAAATATTGTCTGACGAAAGTTTCTAAGATTCTTAGGAGAATTTTAGGATGGTCCCAAAACAAACTTAGGCATGCATGTTAAGCTCATCCTAAACTAAGATGTCTCAAGTGAGTGTGAGTGTACATACATTTAACAATGGACATCCAGGAAATCTAAAGTTTATTACACTGAATAAAACCCTAAAACACTATGTATAATATATTTAGATAATATTGTTTAATTAATTGATATTGCAAAGTTAAATTTATTGTATTTTAACCCTGCGCTGTGCGCACTATCGGCGACCGTTAAAGAATGCAATTTTACTTTTTCCAAAATATTAAGTTGAAACTATCAAAACTAAGCTATTCTGACTTGGATTTTCATAACAAATATTTTGGTATGAAATATGTGGAGATAAAGAACAGTATTCGACCTCAAACGTCCATTAAACATTACAAAATAAGAGCAGAGCAAACACGGACCTCTAAGACATCAGGGGTGGGATCAGGTGCCATGGAGGAGTGAGCATTCCCTGCCGACCGGTCACACCCGCCGTGTGCTAATTGTCATGATCCATTACCCGATCATGACAAGGCGCACAGGCCCGTAGAACGGGGGGGGGGGGTCTTTTTTCTGAGTAAAGTATTTTGCAATAGTAAAATTTTCCTTAAGATACTGATCCCCCCTTATTTGATGATGTAAGGTCGAGCACTGGCAAATTCCAGGATATGTACGGAAAATTAGTTGTTTTTGTTTTGATGTTTGTTTTTTGTTTTGTTTTGTTTTGTTTGTTTATTTTTTGTTGTTTTTCTTTTTGCTTGTTAGACAATTGTGGGAAGTTGGCCCCCGACTTTTGGTCACTGTAGGTTTTTTCCGACGTTGCCCCCCCCCCCCCCCCCCACACACACACACTTTTGAAACCGTTGCTACGGGCCCGAAGCACACGACGGATGTGACCGGTCGACAGGAGATGCTTACTCCTCTATGGTACCTGATCCAACCTCTGTTTTCAGAGGTCCGTGTTGACTCATTATTTGTATTGCTTAAATGAAATAAGTGAAGATAATGAACAGTGATTGATCTCAAAACAATTTCAAACAGTACAAATCTGTGAGCAGAGCATAAAACAGAAATTCCAGAGGTGGGATCAGGTGCCTAGGGTGAGTAAGCATCCCCTATCGACCGGTCACACCCGCCGGGAACCCTGTGTATTGATCAGGAAGACGGAATAATCCGTAGTCAAGTTTATTATAAGAACAAAGGTCTAACGATTGATATGAAATTGATTTTTCAGTCAAAAAATACCCCCACCAAATAAAAGGGTATTTGCTAACGAGGTCATTATAACGACCATAAGATAGACTTTACAAATACTGACTTTCTACAAGGTTGTTGAAATCTCTGTAATATCAACTTATTAGTCAGTAGTCTGCCTCGGTTAAAAAATTGATCATACTTAGAGCATGCGCTTGAGTATCGTAGAATTTGGGAGATGTAAGCAACATATGCAGATGATGTTGGTCGATTACTACCTAAACAATGGAAGTTAACAATGGAAAATCTGAAGTCCTCGTTTGCCATCCAGTCTAGTTGTTAGTTGGCTTTTATCGTCTTTAGTTGGCAAAACATCCAAATAAACAGTCTGTGGTGTCTTTTAGTTCGAGTTCACTGGGATATTTTACTCGATATATGAATGGAAGTAACTATTGTTAATTGATAAAACGTTGTCGATATATCTGAATGTCGAGTCGAAGGCCACCGCAAGTGTTTCCTTCTTCTCACGTACAAGATTTTGAATAAATTCTACTTCATGGGAATATAAAATCAGGTCAACTAATAAAGTTTGTTGAAAGACCTGGTCTCCAAAGACTTCATTTTATTATCACTGAAGGATTGTAGCACCAAACTCAAAGTATTTATGTGTAGAATCAGAGTGATTTTAAAAAAAAAAATTCAATTTTGTAGATGATCAATTACTAGTTTTGAGTTCCATTTTTATTAGTCTCCTACCGGTGAAACCGGAGGGGACTATAGATTTCCTCTGAGTATGTCCGTCCGTCTGTCTGCCAGTCTGTCCCACTTGTTTTTTCGTGCTTTTTTCCAAAATGTTTGCAGATATTGAACTGATTTTTGGTATGCGAGTGTATCTTGATGAGTTACAGATCAAGTTTGCATTTCGTTCCTCTTCAATGATTTTTGACGGAATCACGACCTTTTCAATTTTTCAGGGTTTTCCGCAATTATTTTCTAAATGCTTGCAGATATTGAGATGATTTTTTGGTTTGTGACTTTACCTTGATGAGTTATAGATCAAGTTTGTATTTCGTTCCCCTTCATTGATTTTTGACGGAATTATGGCATTTTCAATTTTTAACGGGAACCAGATTACACTTGCCGGTAGGGGACTAGTAATGCAATAGTTGAAGAAGCGGTGTCTATGATATCAAAAAATCTAGTTTTTAATTTATCGTGAGGAATGGTTGTATAAAATTTAGAAAACGTCATCAGTTTTGATGATACTGACTTTCAAAAATTTCGTGATTTGAAATTTTCGAAAAGTTCCTTGGGGTTTTTGAGAATTTACTTTTGATTTACCACCGCTTCTCGAATATGCTGTAGCACAGTACGTCTGAAGTTTTTACTTACAGCAGTAATATTTTTGTGAGAAGTAATGATAGGGACATGGACTTTTGAGGATGATCACTTTTCTTCGTCTTCACATTTCTTTTTCAAACCAGTTGTAAGAACATTGTTTTAATTTCTAATTTTACCATTTATTACTCAATTAACCTGGCTTATGGAGGGTATAACCTATCGACAGGCACCTGTCCTAACCTCTGGTGTTTGCAACACCCGTCCTTTTGTCCTGCTCTCCTGCTCTATTGTATTATGTATAGAGTTTATGACCTTAATCAATGTCCGTTATTTTACCTTTTTTAAAAGTTCGGTAAAAAATGTAGATTTCTTTTTTATGTTTGTTTTTAAGAGAGAATGCACTAAAGTTTGACAAATATAATTTACTCAGCCAACTCTTATATACTAGTAAATCTAATCTAATTAGCCAACTCTTATATGCTAGTATATCTCTTGGCGAATGTGAGGATTACTGTTGATTGATGATATGGTACTTTTTTTACCTTTCCAAACAACGCATGGTATACTTTCTTTATTTCCTGTCGCTGTGCGTTAGAACGATATCCTAGGATGTTTATTATGGTTTCTTCGTCCGTCCCTTTTTGGTTAAAAATGAATTCATAATATACTTTATTTTTTACAGAATAATTTCAATGTTCATTTATCCTTACTTTACAGTTCATACCCTATCAAATCCACCAAAAATTATACATACATTGTATCCATTCACAAATACAAGATTAAATACATTGAATTTAAAAATTATCTATCTATTCTGTTTGTATCCTTTATCATAATAGTAACAACATCGCATTACATTAATAAAATAATGTTCTCCTATAAATTGACCAGATAAAACTAAGATAAAGCGGTTATTTATATATTTTGTTTTACTTACCAAGACCTTTCATTGCCTTCTTTAGATTGTTGGCATCGCCCTCGGCATTGTAGTTAGCGGGAGCTCTCTTACTTGTCTATGGGTAAGATGTTCTCAATGCATGATCTTTTAAAAACTTTTTTTTTCATTTGTAAAACGATGAAATGAAAAGTCTACATTAATCCCTAACACTTCAAATCTCTCTACTGAAAACTAGAAATGAAATTGTTTTTTTTTTCTTAAGAACAAATAAATAATATTATTATGAAAAAAATGTTATAGTGTAATATTCTACACTATAAAATAGCCCCTTCAGATTATTAGATACAAACAATAACCAATCTTAGAGAGAACTTACCGCCATGACTTGTATTCTGTTGATCACCTTATAATAGATCTGAGGATCTGAACCAGGATGTTAAGCTTACCTATCCTGTACTTCTTGTACAAACAGATCCTATTCAGTTTTCTATGTGTCACCGTTATAACATTGTCTTATCCAGTATACATGTAATTGTGACTATATGTATATGTACATCGAAGTGAAAATCAGGAGTATGTATACTATATAACAAGATCATTGACTTTGGTGCTTTATTCTGGTTTTGAATTATTTGGGTAAACAGTACGATATTGAATACCTACAGCTGCCTTATTCCCTTGGGTACATAAACATACGGTTTACATACATGCATGTACCTTATTTTTTTTTAATGTACTAGAATATATATAGAACAAGTATCAAGACTTCATTATAATTTATTTTGATGAAAATAATTACATAAATAGTATAAAGACTAAAATGAATCCGACAACCAGAAATAAGGCATTGTAATGTAAAAGAAAAGCATGTGATCTTCTACGAGCCTCTCATCACATACCAGGTTAATTATCATTCTAAAGATACTCTATCTTCGTTACAGGAACATCTCCTAATGGCAATATTTTACCATACAGTACAACACATTAATTACATCGGTACTTTTATGTGGAATGCCAAAACCCAGTGGAAAGAACCCTTAAAAGAACCTCCCAAAACAAAGAAAGACAATGTAAAGAAAAGGCTTTAGCTTTGAAAAATGATATTGAAAGAAAATATTGCTAAAATATCTACGATGATTAATATAGTAATTTGTTTATAGGGATGTTCATACCTTAGAAAGAAAAGATATCAAAATTGTGTTTTAATATGAGAAGTTGTAGGGGATGTGATCTGACAGAATTTTATGATTTGTGTTGGCGTCAGGTAATCTGTAAGACGAATGGATGATTTAACGTTTGGGACAACAAATTAGTCTATATTTGTCACTCATTTTTAAAGACATAAAAATAGATATGGGGTACTTTCTCTCTCAGAAAACTCTGTAGTTTGATGAGCGGAGACAAGGTGAATACCAATTTGTCTCTATTTTACTTCCCTTGTACCCTCGTGAAAGAGGGAGCAGGGTTGTTTGTGATAATTTTACAACAGGAGTCTGTTTTAAAACAGACGATTCTGATTACAGCCTCCTTTGACGTTTTTTCTATTTTACTCCAGTAGTCCTGATTGCCCCACGCCATATCCCTGCTTCCAATGTACTGTATCAGCTAAGCGATTACTGAATAAGTAACAAACATGTTAAAAGGAATAAAATATCACTGAATACTGAATCAAGATCTTTCTTAAGTTTTTAAAATTGATTTATTAATTCAAAATATGGTTCGAAACCATTAACGTTTCTTACAAAAACATGGAGATAATGAACACTATTCAAGTTCAAAAGTTCATTCAAACAATACAAATTATGAGAAGAGCAAACACGAACCTCTAAATATCAGAGGTGGGATCAGATGCCATGGAGGAGTGAGCACCCCCTGCCGACCGGTCACACCCGTTGTGTGCTCCTTGTCAAAATTAAAAAAAAAACAACAAAAAAACGGTAAAATCTGTAGACAATTCAGGGTATAAATAATGGTCTCACAGTTGGTATGAAAAACGCCAGTCAGCATTCGGCTTAATGATATATTGTATTTGCTGACAAGATCATTGTATCGACCATAGAACTTGCCAAATGATGATATTAAACGAGACTTTTGATATTCTTGTTTCATCAACTTGTTTGTCAATAGCTTGCCTCGTTTTAGAAATAGTTCGTACGTAGAGCATGCTCTTGCGTATCGAATCAACTTAGAGACATAAACCCCATATGCAGGTGATAAGCGTATATTGCTACATAAGTAAAGGAAGTTGACGATTAAAAAGTTGAAGTCATCGCGTTTATCATAAAGCTTGGTTGGTGGGTTACCATTAACGTCTTTTTCTAGTAAAAAAATTCAAATATGAAACAGATGTATCAGACTCTGTGGTTTCTAATATTTCAAGCTCATTGGGGTATATCGAGTCGACATATGAATGGAAGTAACTATTGTTAATTGATAATACGTCGTCGATTTTATCTAAATGTCGAGTTGAAGGCCATAGCAACTGTTTTCTTCTTCTCATGTGTAAGATTTTGAATAAATTGTGCTTCATATGAATACAAAAGTAGGTCTGCTAATAACGGGGCGCAATTGGAACCAATGAGAATTCCGACAGAATGTTGGAAGACCTGGTTCCAAAAATTACATAGATATTGTTAATCAGAAACCAATTTAATGTCAACTTCAGAGTACTTTTGTGTACAATCAGAATGTTTTTTAACAAAATAATGTTGCAAATGACCAATGTCAAGGAAAGTGAATTTTCGTGTTCTATTTTTATTGAAAAAGCAGCTGTCAATGATGTCAAAATGCCTGGACTTTAATTTATCTAGGGGAATGGTTGTATAAAGTGTTGAAAAGTCGTCATTTTGATGTTATTGATATTGGTAAAATTTTGTGATTTCAAATTTTCTAAAAGTTCCTTGGAATTTTAAGTATCCACATCTGATTTCCACCACTTCTTGAATATATTGTACAGCACTCCTAAAGTTTCTCCTTCACTGCTGTCAATATTTTCTTGAGGAGTAAAAAAAGAGGCTTGGTAGATCATTTACTGGAACCCGCTATGTATCCTTTGTAAGGTTTTTTATGAAGTTTAGGAATCCAGTATAGGTATGGTAATTAAAATTCATTTTGATTGTTGGGAATATTTGAAAGTGACATATGATTTTGAAGAATTTCCTCCTTAGAATGGGAGCTATATAATGATATTAGCTGGATTACCACTTGCAGAATTAAATCATAGTTCCTCTAAAATACAATTAAAATTATGGGCCTTACAAACAAAGACAATGTTGTTACCTGCTTTGTCTGCTGGGACCAGTACAAACTAATTGTGTAATCTATCTAATTCTTTTTTCACTTCTGAATTTTTGAACACAGAAGGATAGATGGTTTTCATATTGCCCCTCATCCATCTGATACATTTAATCCATTCTGACAGAGTGTCAAAGTCTTTTTTTAATGTTTGGCCAATCGCTGGCCTAATCTTCCACGGAATTCATAATATTTATGACATTATTACGCCAGTTGAAAGATCGGGGTTCCCTAAATGTTGGCCATTTTAAAATAAGTGATTTAAGGTCCTCAAGGTCTTCACGTAACAACGTAAAAGAAAATTCATTTCGGCGTACTTTTAGCTCACATGGTTTTTCGCACAAATTAAGGTCATTTTCTTCTTGAACTAAAAATTAACATTATCTATCTTCAGTACGACAAAAGAACCCTGAGATGCATTTGATATCTCAGGTCAAGGGTATATGCCCTTTATAATCATTATCTTAAGTTTTCAAAGCCAATTTTTGAAAGGGGAGTTTATCAATAAATGGTAAATTTACAAATTGAATTAATCAAGCTTTCTTTGATTTTATTTAGTTGATTTTTTAAATTGACTTCTTAAAGATGAGTATTTTTCTAAGTACTTTGCTCATTTAACATATTCGTCTTGGTTTTGTCGAAATGTAGCACTGAAAAGGGACAACGCTGCATATAGAAACCATGCCAAAAGGTAGAATAATGAAGTATTGTGTATCTTTAAAAATGGTAAATCCTTACTATTGAAAGGAAAATTCTTTGACATTTATGATGTGAAATTTTGTAATTTTGCAGTGAAGTGGCTCCTCGTGATGCAAGATTTCAGAAAGTAATTTTGAAAAATGCCAGCTTTTAACATAGCAAGTAGTGGAACAGCTGAGAAATACTGTTATCATCTTGTGCTAAGGAGTCATATTAATGTATGGAAAATACAAGTTACAGGACCTGTACTGTGTTTGTGTCTAGGCGAGGGAAAAAATCGACCATAGTCAAGAGAGAATATTCAAGAATGTAGCATCGCAGGAAAGCCGATTCATGGCTGAAGTTTAAGAAAAGGATTGTAAAATGATACATCATATCCTTAAATAAGTGAAACAGCAATTCCATAAAAGTTATACGAAAAAAGAACTAAATTTCTGCCAGAAATTTTCTGCAAAAAGTTACTGCTTTCAAATTTATTACTTTAAACTTAAACGTACAAGATACATACAAGATATAAAAAATTATTTTCACCTACAAAGATATACTTAGGCTTGCAATTGTTGTAAGGTTGGGTTACAGCGTTGGTAATGCTTTGACTGCTTATTCCCTGTCCACAAATTGGTTGATTAATTTAAGATATTATTTGATGAATGCCCCAGTAGGTGTTCCTTGTCCGTAGAAATATTCTTTCTCTGCCTCCTGCTGTTCTCTGTCATTAAAGATTTACTGTGAATCAATAATTTTCTTGAGGGTTTATTTTCTATGTTTTCGTGGTATGAAGACCCACGACCCACGAGTTCATGTCCAAAACGACATGTTAAAATTTCAAACTGCAGTATCATGTTTTCCCTTCAATCGAGAAATCAAATCCCCCGGAACCAAAAACTGTGACCCACGCAAGCAAATGATACGACAGTAACTTGATTCTTCTATTTTAGGTGACAACGCAGTGCTTAGTAAGCAATCCACTCTGTTTCCAAGTTCAATTTCTAAGAATTACAACTACGCCGTTATTTGATCTTCTCTGAACAAAATCTAACAATTGTTCTTGAATTATCCTTGTGGCATACATTTCTTTATTGAATCTTCTGACATTTGAAAAAGGATAATTGAAGAAAGAAATGATTAAGACGATTTATGAACAAAATTAACAATTCTTTTTAGCCACATCAACAGTTTATAAGGGGCAAAGATATCTCAAAGGAAATTAAATTGATCTGAGTTCATCGTTTTTGCTGCTAAACTTTAAATGAGGTCTTTTTCGAGAAGGTAATTTATTTAATCACATATTATAAAAAATAAACACAAAGCAATGTTGCAATCCTACAATGAAAAATAATGTTTACGATCAGTGATAAAATTTATTATCTGTCAATTGCATATTTGTTT